TACCAGCAAAGACATCTGTTTTCTTTCCAGTTGTTAGTGCAACTAATTAGATCATAATGCGATCAAAATAAAAACTCAGATCAGTTATCTTTTTTTGAAGTGCCGCCATGCAAATTTTTTCATGATCGTTTTGTCTACCAACACAGTCTTGTCATCAGAGACGTCAAACATGTTTAGCGCAAAGTTAATACCCCAATTTGAAATTCATGAAAGACACGTAAGTATACGCACACGAACCTTACACTATGGACTAACGTACGCAACAAAGTACGGCCAGTGACAGGTAGGTCGACAGCAGCGAGCCTTGCCTCGCTAATAATTAACGCGGAAATTACATTCCCGCTCTTGAATTACTTTGAACCACGAGTAGTACACGCACATATTAACAGCACATGTGACCTGCGTTGTTGTACCTTCATCGATTCTCGTATTAGCAGTTATCATGAGTATCAGATCTTTTAAACAAACATTAGTGACAGATGGATGATAGATAATTGAGATGTACTTAATGAAATTGTTAAGTCTTACTAACTACAAACTTAATCTAACTATAAAATCAAGAACTCGTCAAATCTAGCTGCAAATCAAGAACTCGTCAAAGTTAGCTCTCAAGGATCTCTGAATTTTGCTGAGGTCGATTAAGAAAATTATGTTCGTTAGTTATCACGCCTACGCATACGACAACTGAATTAATTAAATAGTGTGATGGTTCTCCGGTTAACGACGGGAGTATGTGATGAGTGCTCATTGATTTCTGCGACCTGCAGCCAGTACCAAAGCGTTACTCGGACACGCGACTCCGAACACGCTTCCCTCTTTCGTCAGAAACCCTGCTGCAGCCGGCGCGAAAACAATAACAACCGGAGAGCGCAGGGGTGCCATCCGTGATTGCTTCCCTGACAATATTGACCTCCGCAAGTGTTAACAGTTCGCAAGGGCGGAAGCAGCGCTATTGAGCCCCACACGCTGCGGAGCGAGCCACATGGAAAGAGATGCGGGTAGGCTGTTCCCCGCACGTACACGTGTACTGATCATTACGGAGGGGCGGCCCCTCCTCTTCTGGCGTGGATTGTTCAGCGTTCGAAACTCGGTTGTGGAAGGGAACCGCAGTTGCTCTGAATCGACATTGATGGCGCACATGCAGGTGAGATACACGAATTTATTATCTTTAATAGAAAAAATTGTTAATTTAAAATACAACCAACAGCTGACACCTAGGCGGCCCATATTATAAAAATTTAGCGGAATTCCAGTTCATAAATTAAGTTGTAAACAACTGCTACTGAAGACCTCCAACAGCGCCCCTGCAGTGTTGCGATGTGAGCGCACCACAAGGAGAGAGAGAGAGAGAGAGCGAGGGGGCGGTGGTCCCGTCCCTTTCTGGCGCGAATGATTAAGAGTTCTGAACTTGAAGAGAGCGCATTGGCAATTTTTTACTATATTGATTGATTCAGCGTAGTCGTAAGAGGTACTTTACTGATTTTTTCTAGATTTTTTTTTCGATTTTCATTATTTTTTCTGATCACTCACCCGTAACTGACATTTGTAAGAATAATGTTTAAGTGACTCTTTTGAGATATCAATTCACGTTATTTTCCGTTTATTTTGCGACTCTTCGTAACTACGTTTGATAATTATATTTCATTATTTATAATGAAAGATTTCTGACAGGCATTCATAGATTTGTCAGCTTAGAACTGAAGCCATATAAATATCAACTATTTTTTTTATATTCTGCACTTTTTCTTAGTGTTTATTTTGTGAATACTCAAAGTACAAATACTCATGGTATAATTTGTTAGAAGACTTACCACAAGACCGCTGACCCAAACAACATGTATATCAATATTTGTTTAATAACAAATACATATCTGGCAATAAGTTTGCAGAAATAAAATTTTATAAAATTGGTAACTTTGCTATTCGTTTCTGCTATATTAATAAAAACAATAAAATTCTGATAACATTTTTGATTTACATTCCTCAATTAAATATGACAAGTCTTCTTGTTTTTGAATTCATATAAATAATATATAGAATTTAAGTTCTGAACAAATAAAATGGTAACGCAATTTGGAGCAACCCATGCAGAAACATTAAGTGAATCTTAGGAACGCCGAGTATGAAGTGCTTCAGAAACAGAAGTCTTGGGGACTTGGAGAATGGCGGTACCATGTATATTAAAATTATTCCCAAAATTTTGATTCGTTTTGCTAGTAAGTTGAAAATTATTTAATTTGATTTGTTTGAAAGTAACAAATGTAAGCAGTGCATTCATTTCATACCAAAATTCGATTCGAAGTTTTCCATGAAAACATGCATAAGAGCCAATTAGTAATTGTTTTAGTACAAAAGCGACACCCAACAAAAAACAACATCCTACAATAATCAGACGCTACATTTCCATTTGCATATCATTCACTAACATATACATTTCGCATTTCCAGTATAACTTACATTTCATAGAAAAAGTTACACACAGGAGCTAAACTGGAAATAAATGGTTAATAATACATTTTATTTACTTCTAGAAGCACTTAGTCCTTAGACATTAACATCCTCGCAATACTTAAAAAATGAAAGTTTTATTTGTGTATGTATTAAAACCGACAAACAGCTTTACTAAAGATAAATATTGTTTTTAATCTTCAATTTACATTGATTAATGAGTTAGTGTTCATACTACTTTACTATGTACTTCATGATTAGATTGTGAGCGCAAACTGATATTACAATACACTTGTGAACTTGGAATTTTTTCAAAGCAAATCGTTTTAAAAATGATACATAGTATTCTCAAAACGTATGATAACATTGTAATGTAATTGGATATTTCAAAGGTAGCAAAGCAGAAATATAGTATGACAAAAAAGAACGAGCGCTTTCTGTGTCTAATGATCTCCCACATTGAAATCGCGCCTTGTTCTCGAGAGCAAGCATGGAGCATTGTGGTCCCTTTCCCTTTCATGTGCCGATTATGTAGTAGCTGGTGCATATGATACTGTGGGTAGATACAGGCGGGAAATCCCCCTTCTGTGTTTGACAATGTCGAGAGGGGGTTCATTATTGGCGTGCTTCCGGAAGTATCGGAGAAGATATGAAAGGGGGGCCTTTCCAAACTAGGATTAGTCACAAAAGCATTTGTAATTGGCACAGACACTCAAAAATGCGTTGCGATATATACGCCGGAAATATTTCATGCTTCGGTAAATGTATCCTGAACAATGTTGTTGAAATATCGGACAAATACACTCTCGAGGAAACTAAAATGTTTAATTATCAGAACATTATTCATTACTGCAGCGATAAAGAAGAAAAATGTAGAAATTTCGGGATATTCTGGACGAATTGAAAATTCTATTCATTTCCTCATAACTGAATGAAATATACAATACTAGATTCAAAAGAGTGTTTTAAAATGAATACTAGCAGCTGAGTTTGTTGGCAGTGAGTTCTAGATATAAATATTTTCGAAAATTAAAATCTCGCTGTATGACAAACGTTTAGTGTCTCAAGCATGAGACCATTGTTAATAAGGGTACAAATTAATAACCCATGAAAGAAGAGTTACTGTCTAAACATAATGTAGGTTTATCACCAGTAAGTGGTTTACTCAAATCTACTTCAACTTTACTTTTGACAGTATCGGACTTTGATGAAAATACTATATTTAGTACAACTTGGAATAAAAGAAACGGAGACGAGAAAAAAGTAAACCTCGAAAAAGCCCGTAACGAACAATACTGAGAAGAGGAGAAAATGTGGAAAGAATGAGGTTATTCCGAAAGTAAAGGATAATAATCAATAAGACTTTAGCAAAGTCTGAGAGTCTTGAAAGTTAGACACTTCGATTTTCTGTCCCCGATTGTTTCAGATGTTATGAAGTGCTCTACTCTCTCTCTCTCTCTCCCTCTCTCTCTCTCTCTCTCTCTCTCTCTCTCTCTCTCTCTCACACTGTTTTTCCGAGAACTCAGAATAGTCAGAACGTAAAAAATATTTAAAATATTTTTCTTTCTTATAATAAAAGTTCGTTTCTGAAAACTAAGTCGTTCGATTTATTGACATGTGACTTAGGCATCCATTTACGTTTACTCGCTTAGGTAATATATTTATTTGAAAAATAAATTAGAATCGGTTATTTTGAAAAGGCAACATTTTTAACTTTTGGGAAAACTATTTAAACTCATATTTGTTTCACAACAAACTTCCAGATTTTCAAATATGAAAGTAGAAGATATCAGCTGTTCGTTAGTATAATACACACACATTTTGTTTCCTATCTACTTCAAATAGGACACTTATAAAGATAAATATTGCTATTCAACAATAAGCGCACGTCGAACAACTAATGACGGGACCTTTCCCAAATAACCTATTCATTTAGCTTCTGATTTGCTTATGTGACGAACGTTTTTCGGTTGCAAAATCATTACATCTACAGTCGTAGTCATCACAGTATTATTGAAGAGTTAACGATGTGGAACTTAGTTTCATAAACTTTAAAAGGTAAAGAACTGACGCGATTTGCTTGTCAACTATTGAAATCACCAAATTAGTAATTAAAAGAAAAAATATTTCACTTTCTTATTAGAAACGCACTCGGTTTATTGAAAAATCCTCCAACGTCGCCAAAATGAACCGACATTTAGGTCGTGAATCAAATCACAAATCACTCATATCATACTTTTGATGACCCTTTTATATTTGTATTGACGCAATGCACTGAAGTGCTGAAGTGAATATTGCTCAGGACTTCGAATAGCTATGACATTTCGTACATTAATATTAGACTCTTTTTGGACATTGTTTCTGGTGAACAAAAATAGCAACAAAACTACAGTAGGTTCGGTTTGTCGAGTTACTTGTCAGAGAAGATACACTGAGGTCAGAGTATGTAAATTCATTTGATGAATTTATATTCATTTAATGCTTAAAATAAGTGTTTTTGTTACTCATTAACATCGCATACATTACATTCAGAGTTGTTTTTATTTGGACTAAGAGCTAATAATAATAATAATAATAATAATAATAATAATAATAATAATAACAAAAACAACAACTACTACTACTACTACTACAATGGTTGATAAAGCTAATGCATTAGTAACCTCCGGCAGAAACTGCTTCGATTTGAATGAGTTTGCCATTGGCTCCGACGAACGAAGAAGGCGCTTCCCTGAGCCCTCACCTGCGAGCCGAGACCCAGCACGAAGAGCATGAGGAAGAAGAGCACGGCCCAGAGCTGCGGCAGCGGCATGCGCGAGATCGCCTCCGGGTACGCGATGAAGGCCAAGCCGGGCCCCGAGTCCACCACGTCCTTCACCTCCTGGCCCGTCTCCTTGGCCATCACGCCCAGCACGCAGAACACGCCGAAGCCGGCGAAGATGGCGGTCAGCAGGTTCGCTATGGCCACGAACACCGCGTCCCTGCAAGGAAGAACATTTCTAAGCGTTTTATTCCTGCCTTTCCGGGATGATGGAAATAATCTCGGTATCCGGCATTTGCAATACACTGTCAGAAATTTGTGCATTTCTTTAATGCAAAAAACATTAAAGTATTGATTTTGAACGCATATTAAATTGAATCTTCACATGTATATTACGATTCAAGAGTCAAAGCTTTACGTTTATATCTAGAATGAATGAATGACTGATGCTTATGAATGACTGATGCGAAACAGGAGGAACGAGAGAACCTCTACATTAAATGTACACTATTTTACATTTTAGGATTAAATTTAATGTACAGATATATTATGCTTTTTTTAATATACAAGTACATTCATTTTCATATACTGCATTAATACATTAATATACATTAAATTTAAAAACATGTTTGACACAGTACATTTGGGAATGATTTTCACAATCGGATAATCCAAGGATGAGATAAAACGATTGATTTTAAGAGTACAATATTGAACATTATATGTGGTACGGACCAAGTTATTAAAAAAGATTCATAAAATTTAAATAACTAATTTTTGAACATTTTATAATGAACAATTATGTATTATAACTAATCATGTAACCGTAATGCAGATAAATTAAATTCTTCTTCTTCTGTCTTCAAGCATTAGAGCGATGCCTGTTCCGTCCTCTCAGTCCATCATAAATCAAATTAAGGATGGAATTAAGGGTGAACAAGAAAATATAATTTAAAAAAATACTAGACCAGAAGATATGAGTTTCATTTGGTATTATCAAAAGGAGAAAAGACGATGATAACAAACTTACTGAAGCATATCATCAGAATTTCGAACAACAATTTTTACGAAACTCAAAGACACAATTTCAATTGCCAGTCTGTTAGATCACCATTGAAAAGAAAGTAGTATAACCAATTTGATTTTGAATTTAAAACCGTTTTCTTTAACACGAAATTACATACTGCCCCTAGTAATATTTGATATTTCTGAGCCGATCATGTTCCATCCCCAGTCAGATTGAGTCCTTAAATATCCAAGCTGGCAATGTCAGGAGGTGGTGGCGCTAGGGGGTGCGGAGGACCGGGGGGGGGGAGCGGCGGTTCAAAGCCCCGGAATCAAATATCGCGGCCAGGGGGGGGGGGCGGGCGCGGCAGGGTGGAGCGGGGCGTGGCGAGGAGAGGCGGGGTGGGCCGGGTCGCAACGCAATATCCGCGCGCCGCGACAATGGCAGCGCCATTGTGCGGAGCTAAGCCCCACGCGGCGGCCGAGCTGCCGCCCACGCCTCGCGCTCTGCCGCCGCTCCTGGCGCTGCTCCTGCCGCTGTCGGCTGCCCACGCCCCCGACGCCTCTTGCGTTGCCGACGCTCACCTCCGCCTCCCACGCACGCCCGTTTTTCCCCCAACTGCTCTTACTCGCCTCGCGGATGGATGTGCTTCACACGGCATTTGAGAATGCTTCACGCTGCGGTGTCGATTATTCTGTGATTCCGGAATTGCCCGGTGCAAATTTCAGGGATCTTTTCCATGGACATAAACCCAGATTTTGCGAGTGTCTTGCAGGGCAGTCTACCAACCAGCAATGAAGATCTTCCTTCTTGCGAAGGATTCTTTCACGACCATTAAAACAAATCTATTTTGTCTGACCCGAGCTTGAAATCATTTGTCACAAGCAAAGCCTACCCGTGCGTTTCATCGTATTTTCACTTACATTTTCAGATTAACAAACATATGGACACCCGAAGTCTTAATACGTTCTACACTGAAATTGTCTCACCAACTCGTTCACGGAGGCACATCAGAATAGCCTTCTTCATTATTATCAACAACTCTTCACCTTCACAAATCGTCTTTCATTCGCAAAATTGAATGGACAGTCCACTACATACAGTGACTAACAGAGACAAATACATTGGTCTCTGTCAACAGATAACATTACCACCAGCATTATTGTGAACATTTATACATCTACTACAAGTTCCTTTACCGCCGAACTGTTCTGAGCCCGTCCTTATACGAAGGCTTCGCGTTGCGCGCCTTCGCCGTCGCGACAGGGAAAGGCATCTGCCCAGTCGAGCGCCCTAGAGTCACCCGCTACCTTCATCTCCTCCCAAGCGCCTCCGCGCTCGGCGCTCCCCGCACCAGAACGCGCGGGCGCGTGGGCAGCCGGCCGGCCACGCCTGCGCTGCGGGCGGGGCGAAAATAATAAAATGGAACGAGAGCCGATACCCGAAAATGGGACCCGATCGCCGAGTGTAGCAGGAGCCGGCAGCGAAAAGAAGCGGGAGTGAACAGGGGCAGGGAGGAAATCGCGCGGCGAGGGCGGGGCCGAGGGGATGTGGTGGAGAGGGGAGGAGAGGCAAGCGGGACCGAAGCAGCGTTGAGGATGGGGCAGGAGGCGGAGCGGGGCAATACTGGGAATAAAGCGGCAGGGGCGGGGTCGCGAAAGCGAGGGGTGGTGGGGCGGCTGCAGAAGGAGCAAACGCTGAAGCGGACACGGTCTGGATGCAGCGGGAAGGCGCTGGTGCGGCTGGGCGGGGTTGTGGTGGAGGCAAAGGGCTACGGGGAAGACGTTGGTGACTCCCCGATGGATTTTTCGGCCCGGGGGTGTCGGCGCCCGTCGACTGCGTCGGCGGTGACAGGCTGCGGCTGCTGGACACGCGTCAGCGGGAGATTGCCTGCGCGGATTCGGGGGCGGCTCGCCTCGCCCCCCCCTCCCGCCATGCGGCGTCGCCCCCTCCGCTCCGCGCGCTTGCTTACGGAACGGGAATTCACCGCTTTGCACGGACCCTGCCGCGGAAACCTCAAGAACCACGAATTGGACGTTCTGTTTTCAACAAAAAGAACCGTGCCTGGAGAAGGTTGATCCATTTATTCAAGATAAGTATGAGACGATTTGAAATAAAATACAAATTTCATTCTAAATAAATAAAAGCTCTAAAATATATAACATCCCCTTTCTGTCACCACTTTAAAAATATTTTTTTGTTTATACTCTTCTATATTATGAACAATGATGAGGCAGAACAGACTGATGATAAAGCAGTGATTAAAAGAATTTAGTGACAATAGAAACTCGTGGTATTACAGAATGGCCCATTCTTTCTCGTACTAGTTTGGCCTGGGGTAGCTTTTCGCTCTTGCCCTATCCTCTTGCCATCTGCTATCGACCGCACTTTGAGAACATTTTTTTAAACATTTTCTCAATGTTTCGGTTTCCAAATGGTAGAACTGAAATATTACTTTAAAAATATTATAGAAGGGTAAAACTTCGTCCTTTTTGAAAATTTTCGTTTAAACTTTGTGCCGTTTTAAAAAAAATGTCGTTTAAGTGTTACTATAAATGCGAAATTTGAAGCTCTTTTTCACCATTTCCTCAGTCTCATTAACCTCTTAATCAAGCGTGACGAAGTAACTCGACCTTTTTTATTTGTGGCTTAACGATTTCTCTTGTCATTTTGCTTTGAAAACTCAGCTGCTTTGGGCATGCGAGATATCTCATCTGTTCTGTCACAGTAAACTGTAGACATTGCTTTATACATTTATCTGGATGCAACATTTTAGATAAAATAAATCTTGGCAGCAGCTAATTTTATCAGTCTGCACGTAGGGCCTATACGCTGGTTTAATATATAATAAACTATAAAAGAAATGACTGGCTTAACTATTTCCTAGAGTTCAAAACGCAGAGAGAGAGAGAGAGAGAGAGAGAGAGAGAGAGATGTCTTTTGGCGAAGATACTGATTGTGGCGGTTAAATGGACTTTAGCGAGGTGACTTTTCAGTGACTTTAGCGAGGATGACATCAATTCACAGCTATTAGGTGCTTCTAGCTTTGCTGGAAGACCTCGAAAAGGACAGTAGAGCAGTTCGTGATATATCTGGTCAAAGTTTGGTTTCGTGGGATGAAAGGTGTGAATAGAAGGCGAAGTGATAATAAATATATCATTTCACACATTATTGTATAGGGTAGAACGAAATAAGACATCAACGCATGACTCTATAGATCTGGACAAGATCGCTCGCATTGCGTGTAAGACGTATATACTTTTTTTACCAATTAATTTCTGAATCTGAAGCGACCTTTAGGTTGTAAATGGTTAAACGATTTTGAGGTGGAATCAAAATTTTCTCAGGTGTGAAATGAATAGTCCGTCATCACAAATGCATACCAGGTCGTAAAAAGAGATACTGGTAACTAATTGATGTTGGTTGGAAATTTTCTAATCACTAATCATGTGTCAAAATATATTTTTAACGCATTTTACAGATTTATAAACTAATATATTTTTATTTAGAAATATGAGACGCCGTATACAACCTTACGTGTTTAGTTCACTTTAGATAGTTTTAACTCCCTCTTGAAAACGGATAGAATATCTAAAGAAGAAATAAATAACTATGAGGCATGTGCGAGCGATGATTTTAAGTGTTCTCCCATGTTTCCAACCATCATGCACACGGTCACTCACCGATGGCAGTTGTTGTTGAACTTGTTGTAGGAGGAGAGCGTGACGAGCGAGGCGCAGCTGATTCCCAGGGCGTAGAACGTCTGCGACGCGGCGTCGCCCCACACAGCGGGCTTCAGGAGCTCCGAGAAGTCGGGCTTCATGTAGAAGTACACGCCGTCCGCCGCGCCGTCGAGCGTCGCTCCTGAAACGCGCGGAACCAAGGTCGCATTGTTGGCATCTGCGGACTCAGCTCTCTACTGAGGGAGTCAGTTCCAATTTCCGGTTGCGCCAACTACTGAGACCACTTGTCCCGTAAGAAACGGACAGGTTATATCCGGGAATGTAGCGGGGGATTTAAGGATCTAGAGTATTTAAGAAAACGTGCCAAGAGGACATTTCTTCCCATAGTACGACACACACAGTTTTTAACTATTTTGTTGACGTTAAAGTCTGGCTACATCACGTGTTAGAGATTTTTTTCTATATTTAGCAAATGAATTTATCTAGTTTTTCTTTACAATAAGAGTTTTTTCTGCCGAAAATTCGCAGCTTTCCGGAGCACGAATACATAACGTTCCCTTCTTATGAAGTAACTTCGTAAGGGTGAGAATGAAAAAACAGCAGATCAACATTGTCAAAGAAACATGTGTCATATGAACACTGAAGAGAAAATTAAAATATCGCACAACATATTTCTAAAAAAAGGTCCTAAGCAAGGATATGGCCTATCGCTAATGTTGTTGAATATTTACCTTCAATGAGCTCTGCACACTTGATTCAAAAAGTGTTCGGGAATGAGAATTTGGATTGGAGACTGAGAAAATCTTGATTGCTAAAGATGAAGAGGACAATGAATAAATGCTAAAGAAACTTAAAGAAGAATATAACAGATGTGGTTTGGATATAAATTGAAGAAAAACTGAATGCATGTACATTGGACAAACATTAATGAGCATAAGAGTAGTTAGTGATACAATTAAATTCCATTACAATGTTAATTACCTTGCCGCAGTAATACGTAACATTGGCGTAACTTGTGATCAAAATATCAAGTCCAGAATAATGGTGCAGAAAGGAACTAAAGCGCTGCACAATGTGATTTATAATGGCAATATTCAATATGAAATAAAGAAAACAATATTACGTAGCGTGATAGAAAATATAGTTCTGTACGGAGGAGAAATGTGGCTCAAAACAAGTACTTAAATACAAAATAACAACAGGGAAAATTGACTATATGACTAATCACATAGTGCCTACATTTAACATGCTTACATTTAACATTGTGATAAAGTCCGGAATGAGAATGTATGCAAACAGATGGAGGTAACCTGTTCAATTACTAAGAGATTAGACATCAAAACACTCCAGTGATATGGATACGTCCAGAGAATGCCTGAAGGAAGGTGGCGAATGAAAATATATAAATAGCAACCATCAAAAAGAAGGAAGAGAAGAAGGTCATTTCTTAAGTGGGAAAAACAATCAAAGAAGCCATGAAAGTCAGCTCATTACAAATTCGTTGTTGGTTTTGTAATCAGAATCCACGTTTTGTGGGTACTCGAAAACGAAAATTAGGTTGACGTCAAACCGATCCTCTGAACGTCTATTCAGTTCTCTATATCTGTCTTCATCTCTCCGTTCGTCTGTGGCCAACGCAACCTCAATCGATTTCCTTCAAAACTGATATTCTTCGATCGATCTCGCAGAACTCGATGCCCGGAGAGTTTGAAACATATTTCCATTTGGAGAGGAACTTATCATGATGCCTTATCTCTTTCAAAATCTTCTTAAAAAGGACTCCAATTTTTTTTATTAAACATTATTCTTGGATATAGTTAAGGTCGCTTAAATCGGCTCAATTTCCATTTCCGGTAAAGCCCTGAATTTTAAAAAATTGAAAAATTTACAAATAATGCGAGAAATTATGTGCTTTTGTGACACTATTATTTTAATTTTAGTAACAATATTCAATGAAATTTGAGAACAATATGTATATATTAGCATATTCAATCAGGAGAGCAATTATTTTCTATTATCTATTCAGTTTTATTTGTTCTCTCCTATATTATTTCGGCAGAATAGATACCTTTTCCGGCTGTCACACACAAACAGTCTTTATAAATAAGGTATCTAAAGAAACAGAATTTCACGGAGACGTGACGAATTGCACTTTAAAATGTGAATGATTTGTAGAAAAAAACATCTAAATATTCACGCCAAATGCAGTCCACAACACTCGGGAAGCATTGTTCATATGTATTTAGTTAAATAACTCTTAAACGGAGGACCTTAACATCTGGAATTTTGAAACCGGTGGATCTGGAATTTTGAAAATATTTTGTTAGTCCTGCGCTACCTAATAGTTCCCCACATGTTCTGAGACGTGCAGAATCTGCAACTGTATGTGAAATTAAACTAATTATTGATTGTCGAAGCGATTGAACCACACGGGTGTACTTTTCAGTTCGGCAATAAAGTTAAATACTATTTCAAAGGGTAGGGTTGTACTTGCCCGATCCTATATTTTCGCATGGACTAGTGTACGTAGCTTTCTTAAGAGTAAAAAGCTTTTCTATTATTTTTGTGACTATCAAAGAAAATCGAAAAGCTAAATGTCAAACAAGGTTCTGTAATTATTACAAATGTGTTTTAAAGGAATTGCTATGAATTGTTCCAAGAAAATCTGTCAATAATGCCGATTAATCCTTTATTCAAATTTTTTTTCAAACGTTTTTATTTTATATTCTATAATTACATTGAAAGTTACCTGTATACATGTTTAAACAAGTAAATACGTTTCGTTAACAACTCTTAATATGGAAATTGAGGGATAGAAAAGAGGGTGGAGTTTAATAGGCGAGAGTTCTCGAACGCTCATCTAACTTATTTGCAACTGATGAACTATCCATTGACTGAGCTATCAATATGAGAAAGAACTTACCTCGCACCAGAAGAGCGGTGAGCACCACGTAGGGGAAGAGAGCGGTGAAGTAGACCACCTTGCCCATGCTCTGCACTCCCCGGATGAGGCAGAGGTAGGCGATGACCCAGGCCAGCGCCAGCCAGCCCACCATCTCCCAGCGCATACCCCCCCAGTGGCTCCACGTGGCGCCCCGCACCCCCATGGCGTAGTCCCTGCGGAGTCATGATTTTGGCAGTTTTCACAAGGTTTCATCCAGAGGTGTACACATAGCCCTACGTTTTCAACAAAAAAGTAAAAGATACAAATAAAATTACCCTAACAACGTGCAACGAGGTCTTATCGGACCGGGGTTATAGAACCACATTGAGCTTATAAGGGTTACTGAAATCATGTTATCATCACCATAAAAATAAGGTTCGGTGATATCACGAATCCTTGTAATTATGCTGATGAAAATATTCAGTTATTTCCTGTGGTTTGCAAGTTGCAGAAAATTTGAGTGAATTAAGGGAAGTATACGATGGAAAGAAAGTAAGAAAATACAAAAATTTATATTGATTAATTGATTGTTCCTCAATGGATCTTGTTGATGTCGCGTCCCCTTCAATCTGAAACCAATATTTTTATTTTGGGAGGTATATTACACGAATCCCCTGGGACATTTTCAAAATTTTCAATCAACAAACCAATTTGTTGTTGGATAGTGTGAAGGACGTTTAAGAGAATGGTGCAAGCCTAATTTTTGTTAAAAACCCTGATTTTTCGAAAATTGCAAAAATTGAAATTTTTTCGGCGTCTTCCTACAACTACAACTATTAAGATAAAGAGAGAGAAATCTGTTTCTCAAAAAAATTTAAATAACGTCATATACAGTCGAAAGCACAAAAAATGGACGATGTCCTAGGCCGAACTTAACCACAGTTTGCGTACCCCTGCCCCGCCCTGCGGAAATGAGCAGACCGCTTTAACTTTATTTCAGAGAGGCGGGACTATTCGTAGTGAATATTAGAAAATTGCGAGTTATATCAATGTAAATATTTGAAATAAATATTAAAACAACGAACAGTTTTACACAAATTGTAGTAGATGCATTTAATTAAAGAAATAAAGGTACGGAATTTCCCAGTAAAACACATTTTAAAGCAATAATAATACGCTTTGTTTTGCAAAAATAACACTCGACAAGAAGTAATAAGATCCAAGTTTACATTTCATCTTAGATTATAGTAATATTTAATATACAATGCAAATAATTTGCTAATCTAATCTAGTCTGCAATCTAATCTAGTTATTTAATTAGAAAAATAAATAACTTTAAAAAATGCGTTTTAGAACCAGTTGCACAAACACATATCCGAGGTAGTAGCTTATACGTTCAAACATTGCCCTTTTTGCGGACGGCACTGCAATATTTACCACTCATAGCTATCTTCTTTTAGGTAGAGATATTCTCCAATATTATCTAAATCTCCTCATTTCGTGGTTTAATGATTAACAAATAAAAATATATCATCAAAATCCTCAAGTTAAAATCATATCCTGAAAACAGATTCTTCCTACTTATCACCTAATAATTAATAATCATGCAGTCAAATGTCTTCCAAATAATACACCTGTAAAATATCATGGATTTCAAATAGACACTAAACTAACCTGGAAAAACCACACAACATTTATAGCTAATAGAACTAATAGCCAATAGCTATCAAAACACATAAAAATAATAAAATTGTATCCATTCATTAATAGAAAATGTAAATTATCAATAGACTCGCCATTAATAATATTTAAATACATTATAAGACCTTCACTGGCCTACGCCTGCCCAATATGGGGAGATTCCGCTAAAAGCAACCTTCGGAAACTTGAAGTACTGCAAAGCAAATTCTGAAGAGAAAAGCACCATAGTATGTCAAAAATGACCAAATTGGAAATAATCTCTTTCTATAATGCTACAAAATCTGGGGTGGATACACTTGAAATGAAATGCAGCAATTAATCTTGGAAACCAAGAACAAGAAGATATACATTAGCTATTTTCTACTATCTCACATCAGTCAGTTGCTCGAATTCTTCCGTCGTGTGCACTAACCAGCAAGGCAAAATGAACTACAAAATTAGAAATAGAACTACTAAAAAACATTTACAAAATAGATTAAAGATATCAACTTTACAAGATGATTAGAAAAAAATGGTTTATACTATCATTGGAGAGCAGGAATCAACCTAGCCAGAAACTAAGAGTGACAAATTGGAGAAACCTAACATCTGCTGATATTGTCCTTTAATAAAAACAGAATGACAGGAAACAAATTCAATAAATGTGGAACACCTAATTGTCGGAAATGTTTAAGAAAACATTGTAAACTTTGTGTAGATAACTTGTAAGTTATTAAAAATACTGTTTTTTGACGTAGTATTACTCTCTTCAATTGTACAAATGTACATTTGTATAGATACATTTATGTTAAAAAGAGTCAATGTTTCATATCATAAAATCATAAAAAAATTGATAATAAATTGCATATGCTGCAGACTATTAAATAAATTGTTTCTATTTAAAATTTAACGGCAAAGCGTAGTTTCATTAATATCCATCTCTGAGACGGGTGTTACTAAAAGCCTTAAAAAAGAAGTTACCATCTAAGGGTTAATAACATTTGCTTCCCCAGAAATTATTCTCTCACTTATTCTTTCGGTCTTCATTCCCTATTATTATGAAAGAAAATTTAATTTATAAGAAAGCAAAGACAATTTAATTTTAAAAAACAATTTAATTTTAGGAAAGACAATTTAATTTATAAGAAATTAACGGAAATTTTTTTAAATATATTTAGGAGAAAAAATGATACGCTTAAAATTTACAAACAATAGTGCATGATATGTAGAGAAACTGATGATTTCAACAATAATTGTTTTATTAAGTAATATATTAAATTTAGACAAAAATTCCATTACTTTTAATGCATAAAAAACAAAATATAAATAAAACTGGCCCTACAGTGACCAAGATAAACTGCAAAAACATATACAGTTAACTATTGGATCTTTATAATCGTTTAAATATAAGAGGAGATACAATAAAGTACATGCTATGGCTCGGAGCCACATAGTTGCCACATGGTTTCTACACTTCCTGCAGCCTCAACTGCATACGACTGCGAATTGCGAGAATAACCACTGTTTCGTTTCAATGAAGACACCTTTGTTATCAAACTGGCGAGCGATAATGAGTCTTTATTTCTGGAACAATTTGACGTGGGGTGAGTCCAGGAGAAAAACCCGGTTGCTTCGGGATTTCATTAGTACTTTGTCCTTCTTTCTCAATCGCAACACGAGCGAGTTGCTTCTTTATCGGCCAGAAGACGATAGATTGCGTTGAGCAGACTGCGGATTTGTGTCACATTATTTCGCAACTTATCGACAAGTGTGCGGAAGTATACACCAATGATGACATATCCGTGACTTTGGAGTGAGAGCGTGGGAGTTCTGCCGCTGGGCAGTAAAATAGTTAAAGCATTATCCTTATACACATCTGAAATTGCCTAAATTGGAGGAGGAAAATCGTTGAGATTCTTAGCCGTGCTCAACAAATTTTTTCAGGGCAATGTTGATATATCTTTCTTCCTTAGTCATCAGACAATAAAAAAATCATTTTAATTTGTTCTAGAAAAGTCAACATTTCATTTGGAAGCTTACGTGCAGGTAGCGTTGTTTGGAGAACGAACAGGGGTGGACTCTACCATACACACGTTAGGTAGTATAATGGTATTAGTTTTCTTGGTGAATCATTTTTCACACATTGTCACAATATTGTTGCGTTCAGAATCATTTCAGTCGGGGTTTTCAAGTCTTTTCTTGATTCGAGGACAAATCGCACTGGAAATTCCATTCCCTTTTCATAGCCTGCCAAAGGGGATATCATGAACATTTAGATGCATTATTTCATATGGATTTGCTGGACACTATTCCCCTCAAAATCTGGAATTTTATAACTTTGCACCAGGAGAGATGGTTCAGAGCTCAAACTGATGTCTCTGCAGCTGCTCTGACTGGAAGGTGGTCCAAGTTTCGAATCCCGATGGGGGCAAGATTTTCGACACTAGCTTCTCAGCTAGGTCGAATTCAGTCTCTGTCTGAAGGAGGATTCTAGCGGCCGGCTGCTCTGATAGGTAGTTTTCTGTGCTTTCTCCAATCAATACCAGGCGCATGTCGGATTAGTACCCAACCGAACGGGCCACGGACCACGCGCGATCTTTCCTAATTCTTCCTTGGTCTATCCTCTCCCCTTACACACACACACACTAACACGAACTACACAAGCACACATGCCGGGAGAGCGGTCGGGAGCTTAGAGCTTGTCTCGGCTGAGGCGGTGCCCCGCTGGTGGGAAGTACTTGGTTGGAAACCATGGCTAGCCGACGGTAGGTCGGCACCGGATCTCGCCATACAGTGATAGAAAGATCACTACCCGAGCAAAAGTATGCATTACACTTACGGGACTAATGACCCTGGTAGTTGACGTGCCCGGAATCACTAAACAATCAATCAAACTAACCTCTCCCCCTCCCACTGCGACACTGTGGAGGGCTTATTCCAACCTTGTTCAAAATATGTAAGAAAGATTGTTAGATGCAGATTACATAGAGATGGAGGAGAAAGGATTACTACTATTCAATTAAGTACAAATTCTAAATGGGACGGGGGCATGGATAATATATGTGTAACTATCAATATTATAGAGGGAGAGAAATAAAAGAAAAACAGAAAAGCCTATGAGCAGTATTTGTTGAATTAAAGGTGGTCTTGAATGGTGTGAATAGGGAAAGGTTGTTGGAAATTATGTCGAAGTTTGGAATAAATCAGCAACTTGTTTCAAGAATAGAGATTATTTATGAAGAAACTAAGTGCAATATTATGGAATGTTTAACCAACGATTTTCGACGAAAACGAGTAAACCAGAAATGCTCATTAAGCAATCCTTTATTCAATTTGTTTCTATTGAGATTAGAAGAAAAGTTAAGGAATGGTCAGGAATTTTCTTTTTGAACATATTTTTCTCAAAAGCAACTCCAATTTTTTTCTTTAAATTTTCTCTTCGTATGTACCAACGACCGATAAAAATAATGTGTTAATCCCATTTTCAGTAAACCTTCCGCATTTGCAAAACGTTTCAAAATCATAAAGTTGAAGATAGAAATATTTGCCTTAG